AAAAAGGAAAAAAAAAAAAAAAAAAAAGAAATTTAGAACTGTTGGCATGGTTGCTCAAGTTTTAATTTATTGACCATTTTGAAAAACCCTCAGTAAGTTTAACAAGAGATTACCAACTAGCTACATAGCCTAGGAAAGGGAAGTTTTCATTTTATGTTAATTAATTTATATCTTTACTATGTAGTAGTTGTAACTATAATTTAGCTACATCTTTTAAAGTGAGTATAAAAAAAGCAACAACGAACAAATAACTTCATTCTGCTTTTGATTTGGGTCATTAGAACTTCAGTGTTATTTAATAACAATATTATGAGGCAAGGGGAATTCATTGGCAAGGGTTTCAATCTACTTAGCTTTAGCTAATGAATGAGTGTAAATAAAGCACTGTCACTTTTTTCTGTGTTCTCTAATAATATTCTGAGTATCATCTTTTATACTATATGGAAGTACCTATCTTTTATTTATTACAGAATATGTTTCAAATAGAATGTTGAAAACCTGAATAACCAGAAAGGACAGGCAAGGAACATGAATATGCCAGTCCATTCTGGGATGAGGAACAGGGAATGGTGGGAACTATAGTGAAATGGAGAGTAAATTCCCCACTAAAGCTATACTCATGCATTTGTCAAACAAAACATCCCTACTGGGTGGGATTTGGCTCAAAGGCAGCTAATGTACTACTCCTATTCAATTCCTAGCTCTTTCATTAAATTGCTTTTAATTATTACAGTGGCCAAGACCTTGGGATTTCTTATACTTTGAGATTTTATTTTCACTGTAGTTCTAAGATTATGTTCTGCCTCATATCTTATATATGTTATGGTATAGCGCCTCTAATTATTACTGTCATATTTTCTTCCCTATTTCTTTTCCTAACTTTTTTCTTCCTGTCTTTCCTACTTTCCTGTTGTATCCTTCACTCTCGCTGTTGGAATCAATGCAGCCAAGTCATGGTTGTCCAGAATGCAAGGTAGAGTTGGTTCTCTTTCGGTGTCAAGCTATGCTGTTATGTCTAGAGTTAAAATTTTGCATTTTTGTGTACATTCACCTGCACTTCAACTTGGGCTGCAACTTTTGTTTTTCTACATTTTGTTATTTATTGAATTTAGGCCTATAGCAAATTGTTCTGAACACATTCCTAAGTAGCTTTAGCAGATGTGTGCACTAGGACACAGAACAGTAGAATATATTAAAAACCTAGAAAAGATGAATAAGGAAATATCACCCTGAAATGAGACATAACTAAAGTTTTCATTTATAATTTGTCCACTAATATTCATTTAAGTTCTCATTAGATAATCATGGATTAAGTTCTCCTGGGTCTTCTATTACAGTTAAAAACATCTAGAGACACTATTCAAAAGGAATTAACTGATCTGGATGCCCAGTAGTGGGTGTGTATCTCATCTTAAAGACAATAGGTATCTGGTCATTTTCCCTCACTGAACCTGATATTAAAATATTTCCATGCCTTTATACATTTTGCACCACAAAATTATTGCTATGCAACATAAGATGCCATAAGGTGCTTGCTATAGTGTACTGGCAACAAAATAAAAAGCATCCTCCTGTGTTTCCAATAATATGAAACTGTTTTCTGATATAGCTCATAACATGTCACATCATTACATTGTCAACTGAGGCTATCTTTTAATACATAGCCAAAAGATTCTTTTCTACATCTTTTATTGCATTATAAATTAAATGTGTTCTTTAGTTGGGATGGCGAATCGTGTACCATCTGCAGCAATAAGGCAAAGAGGATTTTAATCCCACCCACACTGTTAATTGTATAGCATTTGTTTTTTGTCTGTGACATTAAAATTTGACATCTTTATTAATCATGACAAGCTGTTGACTAAAAGAGGCTGCTTCTGATTTTTAAAGGTATAAATATTTAAATATTGCAAACAATAGGATTAGTCACCACAGCCTTTCTAGTGCCCAGAAACTTTTCTTTTTTTTGCAGCCACAAAATTATGGCAAACAGTGAAATTTGACATTGTTACGAGTTCCTTGCTATGGCTGTTTCTCTCATCACAGGACACAATTCAGGTCTCTCAAGCTGATACATAAAATTAGTTCTTGTTTCAAAAAGATAATGTCATTTTTAGAACAGGCATTATCAATCACATTATTCAGCATCTTCTTGTCTTTCATCTAGAGAAATTGGGGGTAAATTATCAGAATGACAGTGATTATATTTAACTTAGAAAAAAGCATGTTTTGTAAATGTAAATAATGATTGAAAAAGTCTGGGAGGTCTTAGGTTACTGTTTAGAAGATCTAGAAGTCGCCTTGTTGTATCTGTCATCTAGAATTCACTTTTATCATATTTTTGAGAACTGTCAACGTAAGAGGGAATTATAATGACAAGGTGCTGATACTGTAAGTGAGGCTACAAAGCCCTTGAGTGAAGTCCTTAAGAAGTTGGGTTGAATTTCAGCCCTGTCACTTAGTTGAAGCTGTGATATTTCTCTAAAACTATTTTCTCTTCTGCCAACTAGAAGTAGTAATAGCCTCCTTCCCAGGTTTGTGTGTGTGTGTGAAATACATGGAGTAATCCATCAAAAGTGATAAGCAAGATATCTGGCACATAATCAGCTCTTAATAAACAGCAGTAGCTATTATTATTGCTAACAATATGTATAATAAATTTCACATAGCCAATGGTCAGTTGTCTGCACAAAAATGAGATACAGAATGCCTGGGCTAATAAATTATAACAAATTATTTAACAACATTATATAGAAGGCCAAACAACTTTTGTTTAATAATAAAATGTAAAAATTCTTTATTCCTAAAATTTTAAAAGAGAAATCCTGTTAACTAATAAAAAATTGCATTGATCTGGTTTTCTTTTCTCCTTTCATTTTCTCTTTCCACCCTATAATCAATCCATCCATAATCTCTGAAAGGCCAAATTTCAGTCAAGATAAGGTGAGAGAATGGCAAAGAAGGAGCCTGAATGGTCCATGAACTCAATCATTAGTAAAAAACTGGAAATGAGATCATTAAGAAGTGGAAATGAGTATATATAAAGGGTCTCATCCTTCACACTGTTGGGCAAAGTGTGATTTTTTTCTCATTAATGAGATTTTGCTGTGATTATAACTAGTTTTAGCTGTCATTATACCTGGAAGCCCAATTACTAGCTGGACTTTTTCTAAACACCATCATTAGCATATGAAACTATTTCCTCTGGAACCCACGTAAGGCAGGCACAGGTGTTATATATTTACAATATAATGGCCAAAACTTATTTTATTTCAATAAATTTTAAGGGAAAACAAAAAAGTACAAGCATGTTTAAAGAATCCCTTCAACAAACATTTATTTAGCACAGACTGTGCCAGACACCATGCTAACTGCTGGGGTTAGAGTTGACGATGCAGCCATAGTCTCTGCCCTAAGGAGGAACACAGAAAAATAGAGTGCCAGGCAATAAAGACACCATTGCACAGAAAAACAGAGTTTAGAAAATGGGATATACTCTGAACTTCTTTCTAAATTAAACAACCTCAGAGGAGTAATTTAAAATATAAACATATATATATATAATTTTAAAATATATGTTTCAATTTAATATATAATTTATATATACACATATACATATATGTTTGTGTACATATATATACACAGAGAGAGAGAGAGAGAGAGTCCAGTAAAGCAAAACCAAGTGAAAAGAATACCTTCAATGTTTTAGTTAATTCTATACAAAGAAGCTATCACATTCCATTCTTCTTTCTCAGTTTTTCTTTTGATATCAAGAAAAGGAACATGGAGAACTATTTTTTTCTGCTGGTTTAGAGTAAAATAGTTGAATTTCAAAATTTGTTTCTGACTGCCTTAAAAATATCTACCCATGACAAGATGGCCAATAAAAAGAAATGAAAGAAAAAAGAAATCAGTCACAACTTCAAGGGGGTAAAGTTTCAGATTTTTTAAATAAGCACCATGTCCCATCTTGATGAATTGACTTTTTTTCCCCTTATTCATATAACACTGATTATTAGATATGACCTAATTGTCCTTATGTAGTATTATTAATGCAGTGTAATCCACAACAGAATATAGTGTTTTTACCAGATAAGGAAAGAAAAGGAGGATGAACTCCTGTTTTCTCAGCCTGAATTTATGCTCACATTCAAGAATTTCCCTGCTTATCTGCCCACCTCCCACCTACAAATCCACAGATTTCACTATGGCTGGGGGAACTGTGGAGAGTTTTTAGTTGTGTGAAGTGGCAACACAGCTCGTTGGGTTCATGCGCAAGATGGTCAAAACATGGTAATCATAAAACAATTGCTATTAAAGAAATAGCTTTTGTGTGGCCAGCTATACATGTCAGGAAATACAAGAGCAAAAAAATTGCAAAGGATTTTGTTGGTGTTTACACACGCCAATTAGAGCTGGTAGAGGTGTGTTTACCTCCATTAATCCTAAAGGAAATGAATGCCTTGGGTCTGGAGAGAACTGGAGAAGCAAATTCATTAATAAGATTAAGATACTCTATTAAAATGAACATCCTAATTTATGCCCAATCAGTTCAGGTTATTTCTGAATGTATCTGGTCAAAAATAAATTCATGATAATTATCCCTAATTGTTTCACAGCATTAATTTAGTATATAACATTCAGAGTCTCCCTAGGCAACTCTAAAAATATCCTAATTATTTTAATGATATGTATGTGTGTATGTAAACATTATATATAATTTATTTTATATATGTTAAATATATATATTTAAATCGAGGTGGAGAACTTTATAAAGAAGACAAACTAGACATTTCAAGCTAATGAAACCTGCAATTAGGAAAATAAATAGACTATATTATGATGGGCCTAATCAATTGAGTTCATATATGTTTAAGAGCGAAGATTCCCTATGTCTGAAATCTTGTCCCATGAGTTAATAACGATGCAACCTTGCCAATATGCCTTAATTACTCTGAGCTTCAGTTATTCTCACCTATAAAATGGATCTGTCTCATAGGGTTGTTTTGAGAATTAAATGAGTTAACACAAGGAAAGCACTTAGAACTCTTCGTGGGAAAAAGGAAATTAATGGTTATTGTTATTTTAATGTGCTTATTTTATAAAATCAAATATATAATTGTGTGTCAATACAATTAAGTAAAGGTATCTCTTGATAGAGATTGCACAGTTCCTGGTACAGATTTGGCATTCAATAATTTTGGTTGGCTATATAAATGTGGATTTGAAAAATTTTAAGAACAATTATTCACATTTATGGATTAAGAAAAGATAGTGACTGATAAATTCTTTTGAGGACATTTTAATACTCAGAATATTTTAATTTATATTGGCATATCCAGAATTTTAGTGAAAGTACATAGTTTGCACTTAACATTAATTCCTATTTTGTTTTTAAAAAAAGTGTCCATTGAACTTTTTAGAATTTGAAAAAAATAACAATTTTACTACTGCTATTTGCTGTATTATGAATCTTATCCTTAATATGGTTTTCCCATGATCTCACCACTTTGATAACTTAGTCCAAAACATATAGAATGTATAAAACTCTTATTACTATGTGTTCTTTATCTAAGTATACCTGCCTATAGGAATAGCCATAATTCTAAAGTAGCAGCCAAAGTTTGATATTCACTTAAAAGTGGTCACATTAGTTCTTCCTATGTCAACATCAAAAAATTAAAAAAGAATCAAAAATGAAACATATTAAGGAACATAGCTTAGAAAATTTTAAATTTTTATTACAAGACATTTCGAACTTACTTAAAATTGTAGAAAATATCAAAACAATTACCTGTATGTTTGCTATCCAGTTTTTATCAAATCTTAACATTTTGCTGTATTTGCTTTAGTTTTTTTTTTAATAAAAGATATTTTACAAGCACGCTGATGTCTTCTGAGGACACTTTCCTGTCCACCTAAAAGAACCACTAAATTGAATTTAATATCTATAATTCCCAGGTTTTCTTGCTATATTTGGATATATGTATGTCATATGTACATATCTACATAAATAATTTATAGTTTTATTTCACAAAATTTTAACTTTATATCATGACATTCTACTGTATTTATCCTTATGCTCAAAAATTTATCCTTCTGATAAAAATTTTTGATCAAGATTTGTTCAAGACTTATCTATATTGATATATAGATGTTTATTTAATTCACTTTAACTGCTGCTTACTGTTTCCTTAAATGAATATATCATAATGTATTTATTCACTCTCTTATTAACTTATTATTAGAAACAATTTTGCAATGAATATTCTTGAATAAATTTCTTGTGCACAGGTGACAAATTTATCTGAAGTGTGTGTACGAACTTATACTTTTGTTCACAGTCTATAAGAGTTTCTGTTTCTTTAAACCATTGTCTGTATATTGCCCCCAAACTGTTTGCAATTTTTTTGAATGACAAAATTGTCAAATCCTGCCCTTACTTTTGTATATTCAACTGGGTTTGTTCAAAGTGAGAAGACTGCTGCTTTATTTCTTTTCTTTTCATTTATGGCTGCAGTTATTTTTATCATGTACTTACTAGGTGTCCAACACAGATTTTTTTTTTAATTTTAATTTATCAATATACAACGCAGTTGATTTTCATATCCCTTTACCAATTCCTCCTTTTCCTCCCTTCCCCCGGCTCCCCGCATCAACATCACATCTGTTCACTTGTCTCAACAAGTTCAAGGAATTGTTGTGATTTTTGTGTTTTCTTCCCCTCCACCCCTATTCGTTTGTATATTTACTTATTTATTTTTATTAGCTCCCACAAATAAGTGAGAACATGTGGTATTTCTCTTTCTGTGCCTGGCTTATTTCATTTAGTATAATTTTCTCTAAGTCTGTACTTCTCACCATATGCCGAAATCAACTCAAAATGGATTAAAGAATTAAATATACATCCTGAAACAATGAAACTCCTTAAAGAAAACATAGGGGAAACACTCCAGGAAGTAGCATTGGGTACAGACTTTATGAATATGACCCCAAAAGGACAGGCAACCAAAGGAAAAATAAACAAATGGGATTATATCAAACTAAAAAGCTTCTGCACAGCAAAAGAAACAACAGAGCGAAAAGACAACCAACAGAGTGGGAGAAAATATTGCAAAATATACATCTGACAAAGGATTAATAACCAGAATATACAAGGAACTCAAACAACTTAACAGCTGCTTTATTTCTTAAACTGGACTCAGCTCACAATAGCTGATGTGGGAGGTGTTATGAGACACAAGCTCGATCTTGGCTACACATTGGATTTACCAGGGAGCTCTCAAAAATCCTAATGCTCAAGCCTCACCCCTAACTAATTAAATCAGACTCTCCTTCAGGGGTACAGGCACAGTTGTTGGGGGCTTGGGGTGGAATGATGCCCCACTTCCCACCCCCAGAACTCAGATCCCAAGGTGATCCATTATGCAGTCAATGTTAGGAATTACTGCCCTTGTGTCTGGCTGATAAGAAAATGAAGTCAGAGTGAGAAGGAAGATACTGGGCTGTAGAAAAAAAGTCTAAAAAGTGGATGGTAAACTGGAGTTTGATTCTCAATAGCTTTATCAAGAATGGCTATAATCAGTGGCTAGAGAACAACACTAGGCATTCCAGGATATGGCAATGCTTGAGACCATGAATCTAGCAAGAGTTAGTCTAGGTATAGTTTGAAATAAACCACAGATTACAATGGCCAGGTTGTAGTCCCTTTAGGCAAAGGCAACTTGTGGCATACAGAATTCCAATAGGTTGGTTTTCAGGACTCTAGTGCCCACCAGAGATGAAGTGTTATGTAAAACCTGAGACATCAGCCGAGATAGAAAATTTGGAAAGACAGTGAGAAATAGAGAAAGGCCTTGTCTGTGGGCACCATTTGCTAATAGCAGATAGCACTAATTTAATTCCAACCCCATCAGCTGGTTGGTGCCAGCTATAGGCGTTCTGCCAGGCTTAATTAGTATAGGTTTTAGAAATAAGTTGTTTTTAAAATTGTAGAATAAGCTTTAAACTTGCTCAGAGGGAATGGAAAGTCAGGAATTAACTCAAATGCCCCAGGTTATAATAAACGAAGAAAGATTTTGGTTTGGTTCATCAATTATAATATAAGCTATTGGCATGAACCAAGAATTTATATGTAATTAGAATTGCTTAATAGCTACATTAAATTTCAAACTTTGCCAATAGTGTAAGAATATTCTTTAAATATTAGGTAACAAATGTTTACAGAATATCAGCTATAGCAACAGCCATTCTTCATCCTTTTCTCAGTCAATACAACCATTACAATTTTTTATAGAAAAAAATGAATTGGAAGACTGTTTAGCTTTGCTGACATGATTAGGTACAAAACTATTGGAAACTTAGATACCAAATTATTATTTGTGGGCAAGAAGACATTGATGTTACTATATAGTTCATGTAATTATTGCCTACATTCAGGAAAGAGTAAGATTTCTAAAATTACAGTATAGTTAGAACACCTACAGGCATTTCTTTCTTTAAAAAAAATACTCATTAGAATAAATGAAACTAAAGGTGTCCAGCATATCTTAAAATATTCATTATACATTCAACTTAAAATAGGTTTAAGACATGAGGATGATGAGATAATTATATAGTAACTCAAAACAAAATATCGTCTTGAAAAGTCTGCATGTCCTTCAGTTTGTGGAGTCATCAGTTAAGATGAATAATCATGATAACTATTTCTTTTCTTCTAATTCAGTGCTGAGTATAAGAGAAGAACTAAATATGTTCAGAAAAGTCTTAATCCTGAGTGGAATCAAACAGTAATTTACAAAAGTATTTCCATGGAACAGGTATGTAATTTTTTCCAGGTGACGGATTTGGGCTAATATAAGTGTAGCACTGACAAAATTATTGAAATGTTGGGATCCATATAAATTTTGCCATATAAACAGAGTTGAGTAAAATACATATAAGAAATGTAGCCAATGAAATGAAGTTTCAAACATAGGATGAAAGTAAATATGTACATTTGGATAAGATTCAATGCATAGAAATGTATTACTCCACCAGACAACATTTTAGGAACTCATCTCTTCTCTAAATTGAGGCCTCCTAGGAATCTAGAAATGTGACGCTAAACTGTATAGAAGAGAGCATAATGACGGCTAGCCTAAAGGATTATCACTGCAAATAAATGACTCTAGGCAAAATTGCATCAACGTGCTTCTGAAAATCTTCATTTCATAACTTTGCATGGATAACAAAAAATAACTGATAGTTTATAAGGTTGAATTCAAAGAGAAGAGAATACAAGAACAGGAAGAAGCCATCCATATAGAACAACTTGCAAACAGGTTATATTTTATTTTATTTTATTTTATTTTATTTTATTTTATTTTATTTTATTTTATTTTATTAAAATGAGGTTTTTAATTTGTATACTGCAAGATTAATTCGTTTGCGAAGTTGAGGCTGGATACAAATTACGGTCTGCGCTCTTGAATTTAAAATAAGTTAAATTCACCTGTAGAAATTGAACAATGCTACTATGATTTTTAGAAATTACTGAAACAAAAGCTGTAATCCAAAGAATTCTAGACATTTTTGCAGTCTATGAAATTCTTACATTTAAAGAGTATTTATAGACTCTGCTTTCTATTTTTTAAAATGGGCAGGCAGAATGATAGTAAATAAGTAAGAGTTTCCATTTTGTTCACAAAATAATGCGATCCCTTAAAACGAAACAGACTACAAAAGCATTTAAATTTCACAAAATATTTAATATAAATCCACATAGTTTTAGGTATTTTAGTTTTGAGTATTTTTACATAAGTGAAAAATGTTCAAGGAAATGAAAATAAATGGATCTATTGTATAAGTGTAATGGAAAATTTATAATGGAAAAATGGAGGTTAATGCCATTTTTATCTGAACTGTAGCTCAAGAAGAAAACACTGGAAGTGACAGTTTGGGATTATGATAGATTTTCTTCCAATGACTTCCTGGGAGAGGTGAGCTTCTGATTTCCTTCTTATTTGCTGCTGTTGTAAACCAATTAAAGCATGATGCCAAGTGTATTTCTTAAATTTATAAGACAGCCATTTCTGAATAAAATCCTTTGACATATAGAATCTATTTGCCGACTTAACTCTTTGAATAGCTGAACAGCAACTGGAGAAATAGTTTTCACCCTGCAACTTGATGTATTTTATAATTAATTTGCAAGAAGAAATATTAGTTATTTCAATAGGAAGAAGTATAATCTGTGAGTCCAAATGAGATTTGAGGTAACAAATTTATTATAAAATAAGCTGAGTTTTCTAAAATGCATTTTCAAGTTCTTTAGTTGCTGTTTCTCACTGCAGGTATGAATGACTTAGTGACATTTTACATTGTTATTTATGATTAAGTATCTTGAAAAAAACTCAAAATATTTTAAGAAGAAAAACTAAAAGTAGGAGAAAACAATAAAAACAATTTTTATATAAATTTTCAAGGAATCAGAATTACCTAATCATAAAACTAGTAGAGTGATTAGATCTTGTGATTTTTTCATCAGTTATGTTATAAAAATACATATTTCATTTATTGCTCTTTGCTTAAGAGCAGAAGTTATAAATAAATGTTAAATTATCTTCAAAAAATCCAAAGCTTATAAACTATGATATCCTTTTGATAGAGAATATTTAAAACAGTTGTGTAGTCTAGGTAATAATGAAGCCTTGTTTCATTATAATCTGTAGTGCTCTCTTCCAATAAAACTAAACCATTTGATTTTCACTTTTGGATTCCATCCTGTCAAGCCACATGGACTAATCTTGATCTTAGGCAGGGCTACTCTAAGGTTATATATCTCATTTCAAAAACCTGACTCTTTGACGTTCTTCTAACTTATTGACTTTTTATGTTTACATAAATATATCCATTGTGCTGGTTTTCATTTCTTTATATCTCATCAAATCTAAGATGCCAGCAACTGTAAAATGCACCATTATATATGTGCCACTAAGGAAAAAAAAATGCTGACAATTAAACCATGATACAATATTTTCTCATCATCAGTTGTTAGTCATATCTCTATTTCAAATGTGATCTAAAGTGTGTTTTAAAATAGAAGAAATAAGTTACTAATTGCATATTATCCATACCTTTTCATTTTGTCCCTCTTGTGACTAAAATAAGACATTTTTCAAAGGTGTTAGCCAAGTTTAGGACTAGAATAAATTTATATAACAACAAAAAAAATTTATATCACAAAAAGATTGATTTGTCACTCTACCTTTCTACATCATTCCCAAATAATTTAGTGAATCATCAAAAATTTTATATGGTTTAATTTAATTACACATTTATTATTCATCTGAAATGCACGAGAGATTGTTCCCAATATCATGGGTGAAGAAAAATGAGGAAGATAGTATCTTTATCCTGGAAGGTTATACTGTAGCCTGTAGCCTCTGGTTTGTATCCTTGAATAAACTTTATAGAAAAAAGTAATAAATGAATTATAGATTAATCACAAATTTCACTGATTTGTTACACTTTTTTTCAGGTATTGATTGATTTGTCTAGCACATCTCACCTTGATAACACTCCCAGATGGTATCCTCTCAAAGAGCAGACTGAAAGCATTGATCATGGCAAGTCCCATTCCAGTCAGAGCAGCCAGCAGTCCCCAAAGCCATCTGTCATCAAAAGCAGAAGTCATGGTATCTTCCCTGACCCATCCAAGGGTAGGAGATATTTCAAGTAGAATATGTTTTTTGTCTGTTTGTTCACTTTTAGTATCTTCTTGAATGTGGATGTGCATAATCTTCACTTCTCTGACTCTGTTTTTCAACCTGTAAAATGGGGGAGGTTGGGCTCTATGAGTTATTTGATATTTTTCACCTCCCAAAATCCATGATAATATGATTTTAGAAAATGCATTGGAGTATTTCATAAAGAAAATATAGGAATCCCTACCAGTTCATTGACTAGTCATTACCATTACTCCATAAATATAATTCTGCATGCTGCTTTTCATTTATCATATCAAGAACATTTTTCCCATGTTACCAAAACAATTGATATACTGAAATTTACTTGTCTTTCCTAAATGTTGTACTCAAGCCAGTTTTTAAACTATTATTATTAATTTTTAAATAATGGTGCCATACATTGGATTTGGCAATATACACACCATTCCCATTCAAATCAGCTTTTCTTTTGGGAGGTTCATTACCAATTTTCCTACAACACAACATTAATCCTCATCATAAACTGATACTGCTTGTATGGTATAACCAAGTGGTATTTTATCTAGAAATAATGAACTATTTATAAATATTAAATATAAATTGTTATGTTGGACTTGAGAATTGCTTCCTCACCTCTTCTCAGAAAGTACATCAAATTGAAAAGTGGTTCTTTGTACATTAAAAGAGAATGGATGATAAGTATAAGTGTTCTAGGCAATGGAAAACTGAGGCCATGTCCAATAGGCCATTCAATTGATATGGTAACCGCGGACTACAATGAGTGCCGTAGATTCATTTATTAACGAGTTTTATAGATCATTTATGGATTCCACTCTGCCCTGCTTAACATTCTGCAAAGTCTTTAGTATAAAGACCCCTCTCTCTATGACTACCTCAGCAAACGTGTGATCTACATTCTCTACAATTGTTTGAGACAGTGATTCTACAATCCCAGCATTTAATATGTCCTAGTGATTCACACCTCTTCATCCAAGAATTCACTGTTTTTGCTTAAAATTCCTGCAGCAATGTAAGCCTGTCGTCTCTACCTTGCCTCCACTAGAATCAGCAGAGTTGCTTGGTGAAATTAGAAGTTAATATATTCATTACTTGAGGCTAGTTAGAATGTATTCCTCTGTTCAAAGTTTATCTATCCTCAAGACTGTCATCCTTTTGCCTTTCCTCCCCCAAATTATTTCCCAAATGTTTAATCACATTACTGTTTGGTGATCAGTTGCATAAAGGAGCCATGAAAGACTCAGAATTACCATAAATCTTAGACAGTTTCAAGTTATGGATAGAGCAAGTTTGACGGGAGGAATGCTGAAGCAGCTTTAACCTGTGTTTTACCCTTTTGTAACCAGACATGCAGGTTCCCACCATTGAGAAATCCCACAGTAGTCCTGGTAGCTCAAAATCATCATCGGAAGGCCATCTCCGCTCTCACGGACCGTCTCGCAGTCAAAGCAAGACCAGTGTCACTCAGACCCACCTTGAAGACGCAGGGGCTGCCATAGCCGCTGCTGAAGCTGCCGTGCAGCAACTCCGCATTCAACCAAGTAAAAGACGCAAATAAATTCCTCAGCATGGCAGCTTAATGTTCATCTGTTGCCTTTCTTTCCTGCTGTCCTTCCCTGTTTGCTTTCTGTTCTTGGCATCCCCTGCTCACTCTGTTCTATGTCCTTTTGTCTGTGTAAGAACAGTATCAATACATAAATATGCTCTTTCTTTTAGAACTTTTTTTTTTTTTTTTAGTTTACATAGACTGAAATAAAACTGGCTGTTTCTCCTTTGTTTCCACCATCCATCCAACCTGGCTCATAGTATTTGGTAGCTGTGTCTGTGGTGTTTGCAGGCAAAGCAATGTTGTGCGTCCTTTTCGTGTGCACTTAAATATCCTTTAGAATACAGGAATTATAAACACAAGTGGTTGCCAATTTTCAAGGCATTATGTCCAAAAAGCACACACATAAGTATTTAGAACAGATTAGCAATGAGATTCTGGCACCTGAAAACACTCAAAAATTGTAGGCTGAATTGTAACACGACCAACAGTTAAGTTCCAGAACCTAGGGGGAAAAGGTCATTTCAAGTCAATGCTTAAAAGCACATCAGTTATGCATGTGAAATGTTGTAGCTTTCCATGCACAAAAGTTCCCAGCCTTCTGAAAAATCTGTGAAGAAAATCATATTTCTTATATTCTCAAAAAATAACCTCATAATATTAATATATGTATAAGCACATATCATGAGGTAATAAAACCTCATTAAGGAGGGGGTCCATTCTGTCAGATCATACATTGTATATGATAACAAGAATTTACAGATTTTTTTTTTTTCTGACCATTGGGAAACCTTTGAAAGTCAAGATTTGCTATGTCTGGTAGCTGTAAAGCAATTAAAGTATAACAATTCACCCGTCTTAACTGCTATATTTCCATTGCATTTGTGAAAATTTAGTCAAGTATATAAAAACGTAGTTAAGTATAGATATTTCACAAATGTAGGTACAAAACGTAGGTGCACTAATACTGCTAAAAGGCATTAGCCAGGCAATGGAGACACATTGCTGTTCTCCCTGTCTCCTTAGTCATCATTTCCAAAGAAACAGCCAGTTTTAACCCCCTTTAATGCTGTGCATGTGGTGTCATTTTGGCATTGGAAAACACAACTTATTTAAATAGAGCGAAAGAACACTTCTGTTTGCATGAATAACATTTAAGCTGGTTCCATCTGAGGATACATACTTTGGGTTTCCATTTCACCCACACCGTCACAGCAGCACATAAAAGCGGTCAGTCTAATCATGCCAGGAAGCAGCACAGACACAGCATAGCAGGAGTCCTCCCCATTCAAAGAACTCAGTCTGATAATCTGCCTCCACCAGCCAATGGCAACCAAGACCAAAGCCAGCTAGCCCTCAGGAAGGTGATGTCTGATGGACCAGTCAAGCCAGAAGGAGGTGAGCAGAAAGGCCCTGTTCAAAGCACACAGCAAGAACATCCCCCAAATTTAAAATTCTCATCTTTAATTTTTAGAGATTGTCTGATAAAATATGTTTATCCACTTTTTAATGTGCTTTTGTGGGCATGGCATTTCAGGACTTCATCTTCACCATGTAAGTCCCCAAATCAGTCCCGTAATATATTGACTACAGTGATTTGTATTTTTCTATGCACTGGGCATCTTTTGACTTCTGTTGGGAAATAGATTAACAGTATTCATATTGCAGAATGGAATGCATGCTACTAACCTAATCTGTTCAAGCATGACTATTAATATGTCACATTGTGATAAAAGTTTAAATTGCTCACAATTCAAGTTAGCATACCAGTTGAAATGTAGATCAGTTTTTGTTGCATATTATTTCAAGTGTAACTTTTTAAAAATTCAGTAAATTTTGGAAATTCTTAGAGGAAAGTAAAGGAAAAACTGTTAATGCACTCACTCACCTTTACATGGTGAAAGTTCTCTCTTGATCCTACAAGCAGACGTATTCCACTCGTGTTTCCATAGTTGTTAAGTGTATCAGATGTGTTGGGCATGTGAATATCCAAGTGCCTGTGTAATAAATAAAGTATCTTTATTTCATTCATAAACTACTGGGTTCTGAGCCATTGTTATACGATGCAGCTTAAAATGAATGTGTCACTTTTTGTTTTCTCATTTGATACCTTGGAATAGAGTATAGTTATTTTTCCATTGCTAGTGAGAGATGTAATGATAGAACATTTGGGAGCAGAATAAAGTTCCATGTCAGAAACATTATAAGATAGAAAATTGTTGCCAAACAAAGACAATCAGAACTTACAGAAAAACATAAATAAATAATGGGGTTGGGCCACCGTAGGCAATGCTTCCACTATTTCTCCCATGTCTGATCTGTTTTGCAATCTTCTCAAGTCCCTGGATAGAGGAAAGTAAATCCGATGGAGATGCAGCTCACCTTGATCCCATAGCTGTGTTCAGAAAGGAAAGCAAGCTTATATCTGTCCCTAACCTGACCCCGACATTTATGGACTTTTCCCCAAGAAAGAGTGACCCGGCCAGACACAGGAATTAAACTAGGGTGATTATAAAGTTATCTTAAAATTTAATTCAAAAACACAAATAAAAATAAAGGTTTTTAAAAAGATAGGATAGCAGTGATTGCCCATTAAGTACCTTCCAGCCCTAAAATACTCGGTTTTATGATTCTATATTTGCCACAAAATTAAAATCAAGCCTTGTACTTTCCTATTGCATTTCTAATTGTTCTCAGAAAATTGAAAACATTTCATTTGCTCTTTTTCCAATTGATCAGATATTTGGGGGCAATGTAAGATGTATGTAGTAATACAGAGGGCAAACCATTGAGATATTCCCTAAATTAGCCAGGTAATTAAAGAAACAATTAGTGTAAACATCAGTGTACGTCTGAATATGTGTTTACCTAACCCAGATTATAGATTCTTACCACAGCACATTTTCCCTTCTTTTGCTAGCTTTACTGATAGTTAAAATTCCACCTCTCACCTTCACTTTCATTGAATAGTTTTATTTTATTTCTTCATGTTATTCATTTTCTTACTTGAAATATTCCATTCGTTATAAATGTCACAGTAATCAAACACCTCTTATTTCACATCTTATTTTTAATTATTGTGATTTACATATTACTATATAAATATTTTGTGAGATATTTTTCTCTGTTTTGGTTCTTAAATTTTGGGTCAAAATGTTTTTAATCTCTATTCTTTGAAAAATGCTCTAATAGTTATTCTCAAACATTTGAAGTGCTATGATTGAATTAGAAGTCACTCTTTAAATACAATCAAAAGAAAAACTAGATAACACAGCATGCTTTCTTGTTTAATTTAGCTCTAACAGTTAACAAGTAAAATGCCCTGTTTTCTAAAATATAAATGTATTATTTCCCTGCTACCACAAATGTACCAATAATATAATTGAACAATGCATTTTCCAGTCACTTAATAGTAAACATACTGTAATATTAAATTTATTTAAAATGCAATATAATTTGTTTAACGCATGGAGAGAAAAACTGGCCAGACATATAAAGAAATAGCAAGTTCATGTTCACTAAGTAATCATTCTAAGTTTTTGGATAAAAGCCTCCCCTTTCAAACCTTACAATGGAGGCCATATAATCCCATTTGCAATCTGAAAAATAATACTCTGTATTTGAATAGTTCTCCACATTGTACAAAGTGTTTTTTTCATTCATCTCATTTTATCACACCAAGTGGATGAGGTAATAATTCATACTTTCTTATCCATGTTTTATGGGTGAGCTTTCAGGGAATCAGAGGGGTGGGATAGCTGATATAAGAACACACTCCTAGAAATGTTCAAAGCCAGCAAATATAACCGTTGCCTTGTGATTCCTAGGCCTTTGCTTTTTTAAATCTACGGGCTCCTTTGGAATCACACTCTCCTTATCTCAATAAAAACAATGACCATTTCTTTATTTGTTATTTATCTAATTCTTACAAATGATTAGAGGAAGCTAGAAATGATGCTCGTATAGATTTAAATTTTCTCTATCTAGACAATCCTCCTTTCTAAAGGCTGGTAATTTAAGCTTCTGCAAACCAAAAGAAGAAAACCATCCCACTGCACAAGCCCAGTGAGACAGCAAAGAGTCCGTAGAGGAGGCTGCGTGTACATCTATAGGCATTTCTATCAAGGATGACAAAATTGTCCCTAAAGAGCTTTCCAAATATTTTTTGTAAGCTTCTCAGAAGATTTCTGCTTGAATTAGCATAAAATATGGGTCAAGCAAGAAAAATGGAGAGAGCCAGAAGGAACATTTTCTCTCCCCCTGGGGTTTAGTCATATGCTAGGAAACCAGAAGCAAGGATGAGACACATTGTGCCAAGCCATCCTGATGCCCAAACAACTCTCTGTATTTAGAAATCCCTGAAAATGTTGTTTTCCAACCCAGTTGGTTTGATTGAACACAGGCTGTGCCATTTTAGAAGGTGACACCAACCAGGGGAGAGTTTAGAAAGTAGTTTTGGTTTGGGGTAATATAAATATATATATATATATATATATATATATATATATATGTATTATAT